AATGAGGGGGCAAGGCCCCCCCCCCCCCCCCCCCCCGCCTACGGCGGTACCATGCTGCACGTGGCTCAAGAATGTGTGTACACAGGTGGGCACAGGGACTACATCCCGTATCCGAGGGGCTCATCGCACAGCTTGCCCCCCAGAAGCCGCGACAACCGCCTCTCTCGGCTTTCTACTACAAGGGCTGCTGCGCAACACAGTCTGTTTGTTCTCGCAAGACTGGACACACAGGTTTGTCACTATGTATTTTCCATTCCTTGAGGGTGGCTGGGCTGTTTGAGTCGAAAACACGTCAGCTGTGGGAACTTCAAACCGTGGCTGGCAGTCAGCTGTGAGCTTTTGTTTCCATCGCGTGCATCACACCTTGATGACAGCGTGCTCTCATCAGGCAACTCCGGAGGGACAACCTTGTACACTCGAACAACAGTTTCCAACGCGGCAGGCGCATCTTTGTGCCTACCTTTTCCTCGTCCACCGTACAGCAATCAACCGAGGAGTTGACTCCCGTGCAGTACCCTAGCCCCGACCTCGGGACACACGCCTCCCTCCCCGGACACGAGCACTCGTACGATCCGATCGTGTTCACACACTCCGCGCTTGCGTGGCACCTGTGCCGTTGGGAAAAGAATAAGCGCCCGATATTCGCGCGTTGAGATAAATTACTCGTGAGTCGTTTCGTGTCGTAGTGTACCTACCGTCCACCATTGAATATATTGTCATTGGGCGGGAAGGAGACGGAAACATGGCTGTCCACTGTGCTCCTCCTGTTGCTCTTCCGCACCCTACCCCTGCCGCTGTGCCTGCTCTCCATACTCTCTTTTCTCCCCCACTCTCTCCCCCCGTCCTGTGTGTGTCTCTCTCTCCTTTTGTGTAACGTTGTAGCGGGGTGCTGCAAGACGTTGGTCGATGAAGAGCAAAGAAGCGGCAAAGAGAGAAGAGTATGGCGGTGCTCTACCCGTAAAAACTTGCACTCCTGACAAATCTTCTCTGTCCCCCCTCGTCTTCGATTGCTTGCATGATGCTTGACCGTCCGCATGAGTCGCGCTCGTTGCCAGAAGAGACAAACACTGTGCATCAGGTTTCGTCACCAGGTGTGAAAAAAAATCAAACGCCAAGGGAAACAACATTGCGTACAACACCAGAACCTCTTGACACGCACGGCAAGGCGCGGCACGCAGCCCACGTTCACAAACCGAAAACGTTGTACGTTTCACAGCCACAGAGCAACCAGGTCTGCCCTTGATTCGCCGTGCATCGTGCATGGACCTTGCAGAGAGCGCACTCATCTCAAAATTGCCTGCAACACACAAGGTCGACACCAGCTGGCATAACTGATTTTTCAATTTTACGCTTAAATCTACGCAAAAATATACCCAGTGCCCGGCAGGCTTTCTCCCCCATTCACTGCAAAGACTCAACACGCCCCCTTGACTGCTGTGGTGTTGTCTGGAACGGACAGAACTTCTGTGATGTATGACAAAGCACCAACAAACACGGCCTCCAGTAGTGCCGCTTCAATACCCCAATCACTCACTCGTGGTGCATCGGATGCCTCTCGGGAAGGGTGCACTCGTTGCTGTCCTCGATCACCACAGGCACCACCATGCACTCCTGCAATTCCGTTCCGTTCTCTTTCCGGCGGGTAACCGTGGCGCGGACGTCGTGCCTTCCCACGAGCCTGTTGGTGACCGTCAGGCCCGCCACCGCACACAAACACAACGGCCGTTGGTATTTCACGGGTGGACATGGACACCAAGAGCAGCAATAGACAAGCCTCGAAACTTCAAGAAATCGGACACGAAGGGGCTAGAAGGGGTTCAGAGCTAATGTACAGCTTGATTTGACCTTGAGAAGGTCAAGAATGCTCAAAATCGTTTGTCGAAACGCGTTCGCTGCTCGAATTCGACGGACCACATGGGTGCAACAAAGGGGGCCTTTACACGCAGGAAATCTCCCGAGCTCGCGCATCATGCCTCTGGCGCGTTTGGTCTGTTGAACCAGGGACAGATGCATTCTACGACAGGTCTACGAATGGTGATAACTCAACGCTGCGCTGGTGCAACAATTTACCACCACCGGGGGGACTGTCAAGTGGAACAAGCGGGTTACAACGGAACCCACGCAGGGTTGCGGGTTATCCCGTATAGAACCGGGCAACCTCTGTCGAAGGTCTACATGGCACCGGGTCCGTTACCCACCGTACAACCGGAACAACCATAACCGCACGATAGAAACATCCACGAACAACCGCGCTTGAAGGGGGTCACCGCCTGGTAAACTTAGGGGGGCGACGCAGGATAAAATGAAGCCTCGCCGTGTGGTACCTGTGGATCACCCCGCCGACGTAGTTGATGTCGAGCTTGAGGACATCGTCAAGGTCTTCGTTGACGCGGTCGTAGATCTCGCCGATGAGACCGGAGACATCGGTCGGCGCATCCTCTTGCCTGCCGACAACAGCAAAGGACCATACACACCCTCAGCGACATCGAGAACATAGTTCTAGAGGCAAGGTGGCGTTGATTGAACAATCACACCATGGTCGCCAGAAATTTCCGCGAGAAGTAATCGGGCGATGGTAGCCTCCTTGCAGCTAATCCGAATCCTTCACCAGGTCTACGTAACATGTAGAGTAATCGCCTGTACGCACAAGCCGCGCGGGTCTTGAAAAAAACACAAGTAACGAAACAACAGCAGCAACGTAAGTGCGGGACTTCATCTGCTTCGCTGCGTTCTGTTGTACGGCACCCTCTTGAAGCTTGCGCGTGCGCACGTGCATGTACCAGACGCGAGACGTATACATAGCATGAATTCATCGCATAACACGTTGAACCGACTCGACTTTCTGAAGCCATGCTATTCGCACAAGATACGTATCCCCGTTCTCTCGTCGGGCGTCCAATTTACCGCCCTGCCGGTGTTTGCGCCTGTGCGGCAATCGCTACAGTAACGTACTTCAAGATCCCAACGTAATCCTTTCTGATCAAAAAGCTTTCCGCCGTCAAAGAATGACGGCTAGATGATCGACCAGAGGGGCTGCGGTGCCCAACACAACGTCACTGACTCTATTTTTGTGCCGGCAGCAGTCACGTAGTAACGGCGACATGTCGCCAGGCCTGCGCCCTACACACGATCCATCGCCATGGTTGTCGCTGGCAATCCTTGAACCATCCTTGTGGATAGCGTGGTACATGCGGTAAGCACGTCGTACCCAACAAAATTGTCTCAGCGGAGGCATATTCTCACTTATAGTTCGTCGTGGTCTTGAGGATTTGGCAGTTTTCCGGCAATTCGGCTGCGCTCTCGCTCTCGACCGTGGTAGCCTCCTCCTGCCGCTGCCCCTGGGACGGTGAGAGCAGGACGACCGCCGTTGCAAACAGCCCCATCCACTGCGTTGTGCGATTGCTGCGGCCCATGATCGGTGTTCCCGTTGTCGCTGCCACCTCCTGTGTTGGCAAGGATAAACTAGCTGTCGGCACAAGTGTGTGTGCAGCGGTAGGCTCGCCGCACCCTGACCCAGTGCTCACGCGCGCGCAAGGTTCCGAGAGACCACTGCACCCCTCGACAAAGCTATTTACCGGAGAGCAAGGTTAGATTTCAAAAATTGAAAACCTTTGCTCGCTGTCTCCCGGCCGTCACAAGAGAGTCTTGCACACTCAACGCGAAAATCGCAGCACGCACGTCCCGTATTCAGCAGAAAGTGTCGGAGATGTAATGTAGCCGTGTGGAGCGCGCCCTGTGGTGGTCGTGCGCAGTGTTATTGGGCTTAGGATTTTCTTTTTTTTATGCGGCGATGGCGCGCAGACCTCATACAAAAACACGCCTCCTCCAGAGTCCTTATT